TGTTTTCTTTTTGTTTTTACGAAGATTCGCAACAGCAGAGGTCATATAAACCCTCAGGGTGCCGGTGTTTTTGAAAAAATAGCCCATTTGTAAGTCGGATTCGAATTAAGGGCCGCTGGATAGGTTTGAACCGTTGTAAACAAAAAAATCAAATTTATAGTATTTAAACCTTAATTGATTGACACTGATGATAACTGAAGTTTGAAAAATTAAGTACCTTTTCTTAATGATCATTAATACAAGAAACTTTTCTATAAGTAGTTCTGTCAGTATCTTACATTAAACTATAGACAAAAACGTTAAAAATTCCTAACAAATTCTCGTCTAAGTGATTCCTTATTTTGTTTTCTTAGAGTTAAAATAAAATATTATAAATGGCCGACGTGATTTTGTACACTCACAGCACCAAATAAATAAATAAAATAAAACACAAAGGACTCGAACAGGATTTTTCATGCTCTTTTCATTGGTGTAATCAAATTTACACGATTAACATTTTATGTGATACGAGGACTTAATGAAAGGTTGAAGTAACTTGTAAATTGAAAGATCTCGAATAAAATTGAAAATCAGACTTTGGACAATAGAACTTTTTAATTTGATTTGCCTTCTAGGATAATTTCTTGCGGTAACGGCGTCTGTTCACTGGTCACCCTGTACATCAGTTCATTACTATTTTGCGTAGAATGTAAAAATAATATGCAGTATTTTATTAAATGAGATGGTACAAAAGCGAAAGCATGCTTCCAGTAAAGTAGGCCAAAAAGAATTGACAATGAAAAAAAATATTTTTCAGCACCCTATAAACCCCTTAAATACGTATGGATTCGCAGGGGCAATTGTTTTATCCCGATCTCTTTAAAAAATCCTAACTCCTTTAAATTCTATCGAAAGCTCTACAACCGCTGGAAAACTGAATATATCGGGTCATATGGTATGCTAAGTGAGAAAATTAAGGATGAAATCAACAAAAAAGTGTTTTATTTTATATCTCACGACGGCCACTTTTATGAGATTAATCGTAGTTTATATAGTTATAAATTTCTGTAAAGCAGAATGAAGAGAAGCAGTATGTACTTTTGAAAAGAATAAAATCTGTCAGACAAAGATGTCTGCATTCTTTAAGATAGTAAACATTCTGAACATTTAATTGATTTTTAGAAACAATCCTGTAACTTGTAGATCAGTATAGACTTTTCAAAGTTGTCATTATTTTTCGGAAAAAAAATCGTAATTATTAGAAACGCGAAAAATTGGTGAAAAAGTGAAGTATTCAGGATGTTTTTGGTTGCAGGAAACGAATATTAACTTTTTTCTTGCTCCAAAAATATTTTAATTTGGTTTGTGTCAAAATTGTGTTTTGGCAGCTAGCCATAGTATGGATATAGTAGATATTAATAGAAATTATATTTTTTTCAGTAGATTAAGAAAGTAGTTAATACAATTAAGGTTTTAGAGAGGACCGCAATGGCCGAGTGGATAGGGTGTCAGACTCGTATTGTCACGAAAGCGGTCCTGGGTTCGAATCCCGTTGCAAAGACTAGGATTTTTAGTTGTAAATAAACAAGTGAAAGTGTTGTAACAGATAATTAATTGGACGTTAAGCTCTCCTGTTTGATAGGATTTACTGTACTTTATTTCTTTTTCTGTTTATGAGATTAGGCACATAATAACATTGAATAATTAATTTATTTTGTATCAACTCTTACCTGTATTATAAAGCTTTATTTGTATATTTACCAATCAACGAAAATTTGTTGGTATCATTCAGGATATGTATACATTCTGATCTTGACAGCTCACTTTTAATGAAATATATGGTGCGGAATTACTTCAGAGTACATTTACACAGAAAATTAATATCGTTTTCGGGAACAATTTCATTACTTGTATGCTATGTGAAATTTTACGTTTTGTAGTAAATGGGGCATGTGTTAGTTTCTAAATATACCTCGTAGTTTGGCGTGCTTTGCGGAAGGTTAAATAATTTTGCTTAGTGAACCGAAACACAGAACGGACCTCTAGACAAATTAAATGTTTTAAGTTTTTTCGTTACTGGTATTTCATATAAGAGTAAAAATGTATAATTTTTATGTCAAGCGTGGTCGACGAAGGTCAAAGTCAAACCACACTTGGCATAAAAAATATAAATAACTTAGGTTAACTAAGCTAAAAAAAACAAAAAAACAACCAAACTTGTAAACTAAAAACATTTAGTAGAAATGTTCATTCACATTTCGCCTGAACAAACGCCAGTTTTCAATGGTTTGTAAGCGATAGTCGAAGAGTAGATTTCACCTAGATACTTAAAACTACTGACTTTTATTACTTAATTAATTCCCATTGGTCACAATTACAATAAAATCATACAACGCGAGCTTACGAAAATGGGATGACCGATTTTAATGAAAACTTTTCTATTGGTGATACTAGGTCGGACAATATTAGACACGTGGCCGAGCAATCTTGCCAATGGGTCCTAAGAACCGAAATTAAAACAAAAAACAAAACAAACAATTTAAATAATTTTCTGTGTGATTTTATGCCTTCGCTGTGCATGTATTATGTTATTATCAGTCGATTTTTTTAACCATAGGTTAAGAAAATATGAAGCAGGATTGTATTGAATGTGATTAGCTGTATAAAAAGTTACAAAAACCATGCTTTCTGTAGAGTAAGACGTTTTGTGTAATAATTTCGCTTCGTTTTAAGTATCCTTTAAAATCCCTAAATACAAATTTTCAGAAGAAAGATTAGGTTGGATTCGCGGGGGGGGGCAATTTTTTTATCCGATTTTATCCGAATGTTATTCCAACTGTCAGAAAGCTAAATATCTCATGTTTTACCTGAGGTCAACAATGTTTAAATGTTAGGTGATGTGATTTTTAGGGTTTTATTCCATATCTCCGGTTCTAATTTATTTACGAAGGCAATCTGTTTCATTACATGTAATGTTCTAAACACCAGTGATGTTGCTTATGGGTTGATGGAGTTGTTTCAACGTTTCTAAGTCTTGGTTAAGATGAAATGCAAGTGTCATGAGCAGGATTCGAACCCAGCCGAAGGTATATCTTAGATTTTTTAAATTTTGTTGAGTAATAACGAAAATCCATTATATTTCGTGGTCCGATTGACCAAATAAGTTCTTTCAATTAATTAATCTTTATGTAAGCTATTGGTTGAAATGAAAAAGTTAGTGTCACGAGCGGGATTCGAACCCACGACCTTCGGCTAAATACGCGCTGCTCTACCACATGAGCTATCGTAGTTGATGAATTGATCCGTTCGGACACCATCTTCCCATCTCAACCTACCTTTCGAATTTTCTCTCTTTGAAAAATGGCCAAAAGGAGAGAAAATTCGAAAGGTAGGTTGAGATGGGAATTTGGTGTCTGAGTGGATCGAAGTCACGATAGCTCAAGTAGTTAGAGCAGTAGCGTATTTAGCCGAAGGTTGTGGGTTCGAAACACGCACTAGTTTTTTCATTTCAACCAAATCCTTACAAAAAAAGATTAATTAATTGAAAGAAGTAATTTGGTCACTTAGACACTAAATATTATTGGGTTATTATTATTTTAATTAATTATACTTTTAATCTAAGTCTTCGTTGAGATGAAACGCAAGTGTCACGAGCAGGATTCGAACCCAGCCGAAGGTATATCTTAGATTAAAAGAGTAATTAATTAAAATAATTAGTACGGTCAATTGCGACTAATGAATAAATATATGGATGAAAATAGTTATTACTTTTTTTACGTTTTTTTTCAAAGTCGGAAGCGATTGAAATAAAAAATTTGAGAGAAATTGTTTTTTATTTTTACACAAATTTGTATTCAGAATTTTTTGGTAGTGCAGAAAACGTATATAAACTGTTTTCTTGTAAAAAATAAAAAATGAACCTGTAAATTCTCATCGTCATCATCGGTCTTCGATCTGTTTTAAATCGGAGTATAACTACATATGTTACCCATTGAAATATATTATTATTTCCCTTTAGCTTATAATCATAAAGTCTGTTGTCAATTTGAAAATTAAATTCTAGCCTTATTCGCCTACAACCATCAAAAGCTACAAGTTTTGAAAAAATAAAGGACAATTTTTGTATACAACAAAATACCCCGAGGAAAGCGTAACAGTCAATTGTTTTTTTTACCTTCTAAACGGTGAAAGTTTAGAAAAAGCCAATTGGCCAATTGGGATTTTATATTATTTTTTCAAAATGTTTTGTGACTGGATCCGTCAATCCGGAGCGAATAGACGAGTCGGTGCTAGGCTTAGTTTAATTAAATAGCAATTAATTAAGCTAGAATTTAATTAGTCTAGTCTGCTTGCTGCTTGAGCTTTCATTGGATTCAAGTCTATTGTTTCTAGTTCCCATATCCTACAACAGTTTGTTTTCCTCTATTCTATGTCCGACTACATTTAACTTAAAACTACGAATATTGAAACATAATTATTGACAGTGTAATTAACGTAAAATAAAACTGAGCCAATTTTGCTTTTTAACTAAGGATATATTTTTTTAGCACTATTACATGGTTATTGGCATATTTAAAATTGTTGGAAATTGGACAAGCACATACGGTATAAATTGCAATATTGGTTATGAGCATAATATCATTAGCCGAAGGAAATTCAAGCGATTTGCATAGCCAGGACTAGGTGTATGGTTCTGCTTTTGCCTATTATTAGATTTAGGGAGTTGGCCATTAAATTAAACGACACAGCGTTATTTATGGTAATTGTAACGTTAGGAATTTGAATAAGTGAAAGTGCGGTGTTTGTTTGCCCTGGGACGAAATTAACAAGACAGAAGGTTTATTGTGATTAGAGCGAACCTCTTACGGCCCACAAGAAAACAGCCGGCATCCCGACGAGACCCGGGTTTTGACTGGTGTAAACAAAAGATTGACCGTGCCTGATGAGAAAGTGGGGGTGGTTGCACAACTTTGACAGGGCCTTGGGTGATGACACTGTATATAATATGTGAACATCCTACGCTGAGGACATCAGTTGGTTTCGCTCTCAAGATCACCAACAGCCATGCGGTCCCCATTGCCGGTTGCAGTCGCACTGATCGTCCTCACCATTCATGTGAGTCATTCAAATTTCATATTTGATGTCTAGGGCATACTTCTGGGTTCTCTTTAAACCATAACATCCAAATATTTATTTTTAAATCAAATTGGACCAATCAATACTCGCTGTGCTATCAAACGTTGCCATTTTGATCCTCCATCTGGTTAACTTTTGCCAAGATGAAATTTAACTTTTTTAATTGCTAAAATTTTCATTACCGAGAGTGATATAAAATATTTCATAGAAAAACACTTACATTGTTGTGTTTTTACTTCGCAATAAGTCATAACATAGAAAAATTATTCAATTTATTCAATTATTCAAATTTCAATTATTCAAAATTATTTTTTCGATAACTGTTGGACCAGTTATGTTAATGCTGTTATGAAACATCTTTGCTAAGATGACATTTTCAAACTCGCAGTTTTTCTTTTAGGTTTTTGCATCGTTTTGTTGAAATCTATCAATAAATGTTTTTGAAATGTCAAAAATAAGATAAATATTACGAATAAATTAATTTAAAAAATATATTAATAATCATTTATTATGTATAATAATAATTCAAAGTTAAAAGTTTTACCAGAAAATGCACAACTTAAAAATGGTACAGGATGGCAAAAATTTCGCAAAATCGTGAATTTGACAGTTAAAAACACCTTCAAATAATAAATCATAGTGTTAGAAATATTAAATTTTTCTGTTAAACATTTCAAATTCTAACCAACTTGTTTGTTTCTACAAATCATGAAGATTAAAGAATCTACCTATATATTAAAAAAACGCATAAAACAACAAAACGGAAATTTTGTCTTGGCATGGAATAGATGGAAAATTTTCGATCACAAATGACATTGCTTGAGAACAGAGCGAGCTTAAGCGGACCTGAATTTATTAAAAATGAATTATATCCGTCATGATTTATCGCCAAGTAAAACGGAAAAGGTGAACTTTTTTTTAAAATGGAAATCGTTTTGAAGAATACATTTGGAATTGATACATTTATGAATTTAAACCAAAAAATTAAATTAATTTATTTCAAAGAAAATTATATCCAAAATCACTGGAAATAAAATCTTTACATAATTTTAAAAAACCCGCAATATCTTGAATTTTATTTAAAAAAAAAATACTCGTTCAATTAATAAGGCATATAACAAATAAATTTTTATTTTCAAATTTTTCAAAAATTCTTAAATGTTTTTTATTTTCATCAGTGTTCATAAAAATGGTTTTTTTAATGGAAACCTGCAAATCTTCTTTTTTACCTACAATATATATCGATATAAACATTGCAAAGTTTTAATGGCCTCATTATCTCTCTACTCTATTCCAAAGTAATTTTTTTAAATTCTTAAATCTCATTTTAAGAATTCTTTATAAATATGTTCTATTTAAAACCCACTCAATTTTCTGTTTGAGTCCAATTTATATAAACATTATTAACAATTTGGACATTGCGAAATTTCTTTGTTTTTAGTAAATACATATATGTTTTATTTCGAAAAGTGGTCTTCTGTTTTTTTTAATATTAATTTTATTTTATTGCAAAAGGATCACAATTTCTTTTTTCACAATGCTTTTAAAAATTGCTTAAATTGCTTGTTTTATATCAAGTATTGTTTTTGATATATATTATTTGAAAAATAAATTATATTCTTCTTTGTTTAGATACGCAAATATTTTATTTCCAAGAGTTTTTGAAAGGTTTACAAAAACGTTCACGTTTAATTTTTTATTTTGTAATAAATCATTACAAAATACTATTGACGAGTAATATCCGCTTATATTTGCTCTGTTGTCGAACATTATCATTTGTGGTTGTCCTCCTTCTATCTTATTCTTCTTTATTCTTATTTTATTCTAATTTACTCTAAGACGAAATTTCCTAGCTTATTAAAATTTCTTTTTTGTAAGTTTTTCGTTTCCAATACTGATTTTCTATAAAAGTTCCTAGAGTTTCTGTTTTAATTTCCAATAAATCACATCATATCAATTTAATTTTTATGAAATTATCGTCTGCTGATACTATTTTTTGTAAAATCTTGGCATTCATTTCACAAATCATTCATTCATTTTTGCTTAACATTTTTAAATATTCAATTCCCAAAAGTGTGCTTATAAAACGTTTTATAATGACAAACGTACACATTTTCTTATAAATTATAGAAAACACTCTTCATCTGATCACAAGTGAAAGATTAAATTTAACTATTTTTATCCCAAATTATTAAACGTTCCATTTTCAAGTTTTCTTAAAAAAATTATATGTTTTCTATACAAAAACACGTAAATACTCATTTTAATTTTCCTTAACTTTTTACCAAGCCGATATTTATTCTTAAATAAAATTTAGTAAGATAATGATTTCTCTATTGTAAAAAATTGCCATTTTGTTTGTCATCTATTCCAAGACGAATGTTTTCTTAATGTTTAAACATTTCATTACCGATATCATAAAAATTCTAAGGAAAAACATTTATAAATAGATTTTGGTCCGCTTTATACCCGCTCAGTTGCCATTGTGGTATTTCAATTTTATTTTTTTAAATACAGGAATGTATCTAATTTTGTGCTTAAAATTTTGATGTTTCATTTTAAAATTTTTTCAAATACGGGTTCTATCGGTAAATGTCCACATTTTTTGTTTTATTTGTCATAATTCATAACAAGTATGAATAATTAAAAAAAAAATCCTTGTCCGCTTATGCTCTGTAATCAAACATTGTCATTTGTGAACGACCTGATTGTGCATTTACTCTTTGCTAAGATGAACTATCCATGCTTTGAAACAAATGTAGTCGTCTTTATTGTTTTCAAATGTTCTTAAAAAATTTTGTTTTGAACAATTCATTCCACATTTCAATATTTTTATTCACTAATAAATTAGTATAGAAAACACATTTTTTATTCAATTCTAATTCGTTTATGCTCGCTTGTTTACAAACGTCATTTTATATTGGCCTCATTAACCATCTTCTCCATACCAAAGTGAAATTGCTCTTCTTTTTTTTTTTAAATTTTTAAATCTTTCACTTTCAAGAATGTTATGTAAAAATCTCCTGTTTAAAACAACTCATTTTTCTGTTTTAAATCATATATCAAACAATAAAACACTAAGGATAAAAGTTTTTTTAACATCTTCTGGTCCGGTTTAACGCGTTTTGTTGTCATATACGCCATTCTACTTCACCAATTCACCGTTTCAGAATGAAATATCATCATTTTTTTCGTAACAACAAAATATGTTGCCGAGAGGGAAAAAGAGGGCGAAAAAGACGGAACATTCGAAAGATCGTAGGTTGAGATGGGAAGTTGGTGTCCGATTGGATCGAAGTCACGATACTCAAGTTGTACAGCACCGGCGTATCTAGCCGAAGTTCGTGGGTTCGAATCCCGCTCGTGACACTAACTTTTTCATTTCAACCAAAACCTTACATAAAAATTAATCAATTGAAAGATGTTATTTGGCCAATAGACCACTAAATATAATGGATTTAAACACAAACGTTTCTTTACGGAGAGTCGTTGAAAGTTTTTGCCTGTTAAATCGACTTTTTCTTATAAATCAAAACAAATGACAGTAATCTTTAATAAATTTTGGTCCGCTTATTCTCGCTGTACTCTCTAACATTTTCATGTTTGATCGACCTCATTATATTCTCTGTCCAGATAAATTTTAACAATTTCCAAATAAAACGCTTTAAACTAGCTATGTATTGAAAAACTTTTCACATTTATTTTTACTAAACAGTAAATCATATTCAACGAAAAATCCGTGCTCGATATTTACTTACAAATATTTTAACAATAAAATTACACCTTTATTTATTATTTTGGCTTATGTTTACACTTTTGTGGAACTATTTTTTGTCCGTTAATTTTATTAATACAGCTCTTAAACTTATCAACACTGTTTTTACTTGATCGCAGGAATAGCTTTTCAACTCCACAAAATAAAAAATAATCAGTTTTATGATTAAAAAACAAAATAAAATAGAAATGTTAAACTGACGGCGATGTTTTACCACTGATGATGTTACCACTGCCTAATGATTTTATAAGTGATTATAATATTCTTAAAGCATGTTCGATAAATAAATTCTGAACGAGTAAGAACATTGAATATATTCAATATAATATATATTATATTGAATATATTCAATATAATATATATTATATTAATATATATCCATTACTACTTTGTTCAAGTCTTCCTGTAGGATCCCTCAGTTTTTCATCAATTTTTAAGTATAAAGTTGATTAATTTATGACACAATAATGTTCAGCCAAATTGCTTGATTAAAAAACTATATATTTTGTATTATGGATTTTAAGTATATTGTATTCAGTAGTATTTACTATTAAAAAAAATATTGGTATTAAGTTTTTTAACATTACAGCTGCTGTGGGAAGAAGCTTTAAAATAAAGAAGAATATTTAAAACCAACGGCAAAACTTTTCAGACTGTTATAAAGAATGAAGTAAAATAAAATTTATATTTCAGGTTTCCGGAAAGAACATCAGATCGGGGAAGAGCTGCAACTGTGGTAAGTAGGAAACAGCCCCACAGGTTTCATGTGCTCCAACTTCTAAATAATTCGTTTACCATATAACAACTGTTTTATGATAATCAGACTAAACCGTTTTTATCGTATCAAACTTAACTGAAACGTTCGAATTTTTTATATTTAAATTTAGTTGTATAAATGAGACAGTATTTCAAGACGTGTTTCACCCGTCCAATAATAAAACATTAAAATTCCAACTCCTTTTGAAACAAACGCTGGCTCAATTCTTTCAAAATATCTTCGTTGAGAAATGACTTTTGTAATTCGAAAGACTGCCTTTTGGTATTCTCAGCGGTATACGGTTAGCATAATTATAGCCCGGAAATGGAATAACAATATGCAGTTTGCTTAGACTGTCACCTTTTTGAATATTAATTATAGGAACAGTTTAGGGAAATATGTCCTCTATTAACCCACTTTTTATGGATGAGTAATTACTCTTTTCAAAATGTTCATTTCAGTATATATCTTTCATATTTGACAAGGTTTTTATTTAAAAATTGCTTTGGTTTATTGCAAATAAACTACCAACTATAAAAAAATTATTGTGATTAAAAAGTATTTGATTTAATATTTTCATACTGTCATGATCACAAAAGGCTCGTACTTGCCTAATTTTGTATTGAGATTTTTCATTTTTGATAAACCCGAATTTGCATAGGAATCAACAAAAAACAAAAAAAAAGTATTCGTTTATCTCGGTTGAATCCAATAGGAGAGTAAGAAGGAAATATTCGATAGAGGGTTACACCAGCGGTCAGCCAAAACAATAAATATAATCTGATATCGGTGAGGGTCGACATTGGAAACAATTTCAGCAATTACGTCTGTTTTTTGTTGTTGTTGTCGCTGGTGTTTCATCCCGGTTTTTGTATAATTTCGTTAAAAGGGCAAAAATTCAATCCTCAATCGGGTTGTATCGTTTGCAACACCCAGGAACACGCTGAAAATTAGTTGTAATCCGTTTAGCCGTTGATTTAAATTTACTGCCGTCTCCTTTTGCAGAAGGACGCACGGCGCTTTTGCATACATTACCAGCATTACTTATCCACTTCCTTGGGTATCCCGGTGAAAAACTAAATATTTCTTCGATCACAATAGCCGATTATTGGGGGCGTCGGTGGCCACAACGGCTTAGGCATTGACACAGCGGTCATAACTGTAAAGTAAAAGTCCCGGGTTCGAATCTAGCGGGCATTCAAATCCGACATACTTAAAATTTTTTTTCTTACAAAACACCGACTCCCCGAGGGTTGAAATGACCTCTACTGTTGCGAACCCTCGTAAAAAAGAATTAAAGAATATATAATGTCCTTAAAAAATGTCCTTGGTTCGAACCCGACATACTTACAAATGGGCTACTTTTCAAAAGCACCGACAACTCGAGAGCTGATATTTATTTAATTTATTTTAATAGATAGACGCATAAATGATAAAAACATGCTATTCCATGATAACGGCAACTGCGTGAATGCCATTATAAAAGATTTATATTGGTTGTGCTCCAGGGGCTATCAACAGCTAGGACATTTCATCCGCCAACGCAATCAGTCTCTAGATTCAAACTCACTTAAGCATTCCTACTTACATATCCTTCACTCAGTTAAGGTGGTGGAGTACTTGATATTCCATCATCACCCTTTACACATACTGTATAGCTAATATGGTCGATGGGGTACTCCATATTCAGCCATCGTCCTACGCCACACACTCACTCTAATAAATACATTCACTCTCCACAAAAAAACGAAACAAAAAACAGAAGATGAATTCAAATACAATTAGTACTTTTTTTTAATTTTCCACCTTACCAATCCATCAGCCCCGGTTTTTTCTTTCCTCCATCAATTTCTTTAATTTGAAAAAAACAAAAAAACAATTCATTTCAAAGTTCTCGCTACTAAATCGTAGTTTTCAATGGTATCAACGGATCCGTCCAAAACTTTTTACTTATCAATCGATACTTACTTATCGGACTTATCATTGTGTATATGAAGCAAGGTCGTGAAATTTTAAAAAATCAAAAGAAAAAGAGGAATAACTCCGAAACTGTTGAGATTCGGACCATAGTTAATTAGAACTTTTTGGTTCCACTTTGAATATAGAATTTACAGGCAAAGTTTGTAACACGACTAATATATATATATATATATATATATATATTAAAAAAATAACAGTCCTATTTTCTAAAATGCACCATTTCCATATCGGGTGGCATTTTTACACGCTCTTTATATGGAGCCAAAAATGACATCCTTCAATTAAGGGGGACACATCGAACAACTTTTCCCTACACTCCAGACGCAGGCTTTGGTCCAAAATTAAATGTCCGTGTGGCAGCCTTTGTTTTAGTTAGTGTTTAAATCTAAAACCAGTGACATTTTTATGCAGTGTAATGAACACTTTCACTCTTAATAATCACAAAAAGGAAATAGAAGATGGGGTATCAATTACTATATAGAATAAAACAGTGCTTGGGAAATCGTGAGATGGGGTCTGGTGTGAGGTAGGTTTTAGAAAAACATTTTCTTTATCGTGCCAACGTTTCGATCTTTATTGAGATCATCTTCAGGGCTCAAAGCGTTTGTTTTCCTGTAGATGTGTCATTCTTGCCTGTCTTGTTGACCGCATCTCACGACCTTCAAAAAATCATCAACTAAAGGTCACTAAACACCACACACACTAAAGAAAAGTGTATTATTTCATTTTCTGTCTTCCTCTCTTTTTTTCTCAGCGAGAAATTATTGTAGAGTAGTGGATTATAAACTAGTGCTGTTATACAAATCTTTTATGAAAAAGGCAATACCACCTTAAAACATTTTTGTATCGGTTCCATATGAAATCTATTATTTGTCTGATTCCAACATTAATTAGCATAAACGTACCAGCATTCAATGTGTTACCACGTTATTCATAAGGACAATAGACATGCCACCCTCCTTGATTCTATTTATGGAATACATATTTTACTTAAATAGGCTGTAGTTAAGATGTCATTTTATTTATTATTTAAAACAATTTTTGTGTAATACATGTGAAAAATATATTTTTTAAATATATTTTCATAATCGAAAGGATTGTGATACATTCTAAACCGAAATTTTGTTTTAACCCATGTTTTTTCTATTGCCGACTGATATTATAATAATTTAATAGCTATTAATATTAACTGTGTTTTAAAAGTGTGTGGAGTGGGAGACCGTAAACAGAGAATAATCGGTGGGAAAAGATCGGAGGCTCATGAATTCCCTTGGATTGCAAGTCTGAGCTTGAATGGCACTTTTTACTGCGGAGCATCACTTCTTACGAGCAGACATCTACTCACCGCAGCACATTGTCTGTACGGGTAAGAGTAATACTATAATAATAATAATAACAACAATTGTCTGCCGTATTGGCGATTTCTTGTTTAACTTTGTAAAAAAAATAGTAAATTTTTGCCTATATATCATGCCAAGATTCGTCCTGGAAGTGAAATCGTCCCCGCTTTATAAATTGCACCCGAGGATGAAAAATATGTTCGGAATGTAAATGACAGGTTGAAATATAATAATTGTCCTTAGCCTTACAATGTGCCCAACTTTTATGTTTTGACTTGTTTATGCTATTTCAAATTTAAACGCCGTGCAATTTCGCATTTCCCCCTGACATTCTTTAATAAATCGATCTACACTGTGAATTTTTTCGGTTGTTTTTCTTTTTTCAGTAAGCGTTACACCGACATAAGAGTCGGACTGGGCGAACACGACAGGGACCAGAAGAACGAGCCGGGGAAGAGGCTTCTCAAGCTGAAAAGGGCCACAATGCACGAAGGGTTCAGCGTTGTCAAGATTCAACATGATATCGGAATTATCGAACTAGAAACTCCGGTCGAACACAACGGCCCTTTTATAAGGACGGCCTGTCTTCCAACAACAGGTAAAACCATTTTAACCATAAATTATTATTATAAACTAGTACCTCTGCCCTCTATAATCCAGGGGGCTGTATGTATGTGAGATGATGATGATTATGAACGCTTTATTTATCAATCACACAAGATTGGGTCTCAAGGACCATTCTGTCATCTAATGTAAAATACAATGGTTACTTAGTTTACTCTTTTATTAATTCATTAAACATTAATTATTTCTAATAACCTGGTTTTTGTGGTCAATATGTTACATCCATTCGTTTTACATTGACCTACATATGTATTTACTTTATATTGCCTAATAAAATAAATATTCTAGTTTACTGAATAATTTAGCCATAATAATATAATAACTGAGAAAAATACTTTTTCCATGCAGAGAGATAGATAGATAGAGATAGAGATAGATAGATAAATAGATTGATAGATAGATATAGATAGAGATAGAGAGAGTGAGAGTGAGAGAGAGAGATAGAGAAACAGAAAGTGAATGTGAATGTGAATGAAAGCATTTCCTTGTTGAATTCATATCATACTAAAATTTTTATTTATTTATTTTTTTTCTGACCTTACTTTATGCATTGGCCAAAGAAATAATTATATGAAACCCGATGCATTTATTTATTATTGCTAAACAGATAAATAAATTATTATATATTTGTATACTTTTACAAATAAATGAACTGGAGTAAGTTTTCCTACATTTTGACATTATGTTGGTTTATTTCTAAATAGAGAGCGAGCGAAAGAGAATAGATATGAAAAAGATAGATATATAGATAGGTTGAAAGGGAGAGAGAGGGAGAGGGAGAGAAGGAGAGAGAGAATGAATGAATAAATGCATGACTGAATAAATGCAATTCCAACAGAAAGGGTAAGAAAAAGAAAAAGAGAGGGAGAGAGTGCGAAAATAAAGAGAAACAGGGAGAGACAAAGAGAAAAACAAAAATCTAAAGAGCGGATATACAGAGAAAGGAGGAAAGAGGGAGAGGGGGAGAGAGTGAGAGGGAGAGAGAGAGAGAGAGAAAGAATGAATAAATAAATGCATGACTGAATATCATCTAATTTTAAATTCTTTCAAATTTATGTCACCAACGCCCTAAAGTGAAAATACATTGGTAATTATTTTATGTCACTACGTCCTAAAGTTACTGTCAAAAAAATTATTATTACACAATTATAATCATCCAAAAGTGATTTATTTCTTTATTTTTTGAAACATAAACATATTATTGCTACACAATAATTATTTTTTGGTATTTAAGAATACCAGAAAAATAAAACAGCTTAAAATGATATACCAATTTTAATTCTAGAGAAAGAAAGAAACAGAGAGGGAGAGAAAGAGAGAGATAGAGAGAGAATGACAGTGAAAAAACAAAAAGAGAAAAAAGAATGAGAGTGTGAAATAGAGAGTGAGAAGGAAGTAGAGAGGTGAAATGAAACAATCATTTTTTGTTGAAATCATTGACATTTTAACCAATAATCGTTAGTTTGTTTGTTTCCGATTCCGGTCGACCTAACATCCCAAGTCAATTGGAGGATAATTAAAGTTAGTCTTACCATAGTTGTATCAGGATAAAGATAATCCGTTAACTTATCGTAATTTACGTGTAGATTAATCATTTATAAATAATCAATTTTTGTATATCGATTTACACGTCACAACCTATTACCGCAGCTTGTTGCTTACGTACTGTTACGATAAATCGTTTTACACTGTCCAGTGAACGCCAATTATTCCGGTTTGGACGGGATCGTCGCCGGATGGGGAAAACAGAAGGAAAACGGCCCAACGACGCCGATTTTGAGAAAGGTCACCATACCGCTTTTGACGAGGGAAGAATGCGCCACAGGATACGGTTACTGCCCGAAGAAAATCCTCGAGACCAATTTCTGTGCTGGTCAGCCCGGCGGAATGAAAGACGCCTGCCAGGTAACCCAAAACGGCTCGATTTGTTCTTGCTCAATGTTATTTTATTATCATTCAAGATAATACGTTGATATTAATTAAAGCAGATAAACAGTAAAAATCATAATAATGATTCATTAGTCAAATCAGGTGTATAATTATGTGTATTCGTCTATGTTGACTTGTAACGCTTTTTCAGGGTGACAGCGGAGGTCCTATTCACCTAAATCACACTGCACCAAATCACATGGAACTTATAGGTAAGTTGTACTTACATTTTTTACTTTGCTTTACCCTTAAACGCAATGTGACTTTTCTATTTGAAAAAAAAAAAGCAAAATATGAAAGATCGCATGTACATGACCATGAAATTCCACGGACAAAATCAATCCGCCAAAGTTTCTCCGCGGTCCAAATTTTAAACAGGCTGAAGTGAAAACCTTGCTGTTTTAATTTAAAACTTAAACTTACGTAAAATAATGGCAAAAAGATGGAAAATTCGAACGTTGTAGGTTGAGATGCAGAGTTGGTGTCCGAGAGGATCGAAGCCACGATAGCTCAAGTGGTAGAGTAGCGGCGTATTTAGCCGAAGGTCGTGGGTTCGAATCCCGCAAGTCACACTGACTTTTTTTTATCTCAACCTTACATAGAAAGAATAATTAATTGATTGAAAAAAGTAACTTGGTCAATTGACTACGAAAACGTAAGTGGATTACGTAAAAGAGTTAAAATGGTTTCACCTTTGGAAAGGTTTTGTTGCTTCCGCATAAATATAATTTATAATAATTATCTTGATGTTGCTTTATTATGTTGTCCACTTGTTTACCCTGAAGCACTTAAAAATGAAAAAGCGCGTCTATTAGAGATTTATTTGCCAACAACGTCGTTGAACAGGGAAAGTTTAGCTTTTGTAACTAATAGTTTTGCAGGCAAGCTATTTTCTCTCATTTCCTTTTATCCACTTTGTTCTTAGAATCAAGAAAACAACTTTTGCTACTTTCTCTCTAGGTTAAATAACACCTCTTGTATTGAAATATTTTTATTTTATTCGAGGAAAAGATTAGAAAATATGATTTGGAGGAAATTTGCGATTTCTGTTCAGACTAAACAGAAACTTTGCGCAGTTTATCTTGTCTGATCCAAATGTGGATAGTTATGCACAACGTCGTCAACATTCAGCTACCTGATTCAGTAACATACTTCTCGATATCATCTATACAGCTGACTTGGCGATAGCTAAAGTTTATTTCCTAACTCGTCTCCTGTCCAGGGTCACTTTCCGGGGAGTACAACAATACCGACAATACAACAATACATTAACAATGAAAAATCTTGTTCATCAACTAACAAGGCGCTACTGGGGGTGTCGGTGGCCGCAACGGTTTAGGCGTTGACATGGCGCTCATCACTGTAAGGTGAAGGTCCTGGGTTCGAATCCAGCGGCCGTGCATTCGAACCCGACATACTTACAAAGGGCTTCACCGGCACACTGAGGGTTTATATGATGTCTGCTGTTGCGAACCCTCTTTAAAAAAAATACTAGTTAGTGACCAAACAAATTATAGTACTATACCTAGAGCAGACCGATGTGGATTCCCCACATATACTTAAGAGACAAACTTACAAGATTTGGACATCTACGAAGCCAGTTCTTCTGACTGAAAGTCCTCAGACGGATGTAAATGATCCTTATTACACCCAGTACCCACAATCACCTGAATATTTCTTTCCTAATGTTCCATCTTAACTTTTCGATCCTTTCTAGTTCTTTAAACACTATCTCTTCCTCAGTATCTTTCACGTCACATTAAACGACGATGGAGTTGTGTCGCCTTTTACACCTCACACTCTGTACACAGTAGAAACTTTGTACTTTTAACTTTCACTGTTTTTTGTCGCAGGGATCGTGTCCTGGGGAAGAGGCTGCGGCAGACCCAACTACCCCGGTGTCTATACACGTGTTGACAAATACACGTCGTGGATACAGAAACAGATCGGCGACGAATGCACCTGCACGCCACCGGCGAACTGAAACACTGCGTTGATCTGCATACCCTTCCGATACTCAGTTAATTTATTCACACCGCATAAACCATCGGGCGAGCTTTTGTCGTGCGATGGGAAGTAGGACGAACAGCACGTCAAGTGGGCTAACGGCGGGAAACAATTTGTCATTCATTCTGACGTCTGCCACAATTTTTCAATTTATTTGTCCGCCATGGATAAACAATGGTTTTTGATGGAAATAACCCGAGTTATGTTTGTTTTTTCGATCCTCTATTGACATATTATAGATTTTTAAAATTTTTGTTTAGAGATAAAATATAAAACAATCTGTACATTCGAAAAAGGTCGTCCTCAAAACTTGGGCTCATAAGATTTGGACATTTACCAGAAGCCAGTTCTTCTGACCAAAAGTTCTGACAACCTCAGACGGATGTTAATGATCCTTATGACACCCAGTACCCACAATCACCTGAATATTTCTTAAATTCACAATACCCTTAAATTTAAATTGTCCACTGAAGATTTAAACCATTATATGCAGATTTAATTAAAAATATATTATCAAAGTGAACTCCCATGAGAGATTTAAACTTAAACATCCATCGAAGTAAATCAATAACTTGCTATTAATCACAATCTTCCTCAAAATGTTCGTTTGCACAGTTTCAAGACTGAAGAATTGCAAATTATTTTGCACCAGCGTCTCGCATGATTGGAGAAAGACAAACTCCTTTGATTAAACTCCACCGTTCTGGAAAGGGGGCATTAATAAATACAGCTTTCTTTGGGTGATAGATTTCATCCGGCAGTCTTATTGATTATTTAACTGAAACCAAAGAGGAACAGTGCCCGGTTAAACAGAAAAACCCATAATTGCATTCCACCCTTTCAGACATCGGACGTGGAAGGGAGAGTCGCTTAATTTCCATGAACCTGCCGAGGTTGACAGCCTTCTTTTCGCAGACAAGCAACCTCATATTTATTGACCAAATAGTTATTATTTATTGAAAAATATACATGTAAAATATCTGTGATAATCTGTTATTTTAAACCTTGCTTTGTTTATAATAAATTAATTATGAATGCAATTGTTATAATTTTTTTCCAACCCTTGATGAAATGAAATTCAAATGTAAGATTTATTAAAATTTATATGATACAAATTAATAATAATGCTTTAGGGATTAATTGACAGATTTACGTAAAAGCCGATGTTTCTTAATGTTGATACAAAAAAGTCTAACATCAATGAAAACGTGACGGCGCTCATCACTGTAAGGTAAAGGTCCCGGGTTCGAATCCAGCGGCCCTGCATTCGAACCCGACATACTTACGAATGGTTTTTTTTTCAAAAACACCGGCACGCCGAGGGTTGATATGACCTCCGCTGTTGCGAACCCTCGTAAAAAAAAGAAAAAAGAAATGAAAACTAGAATATAAACAAAATCAATTGTTTAATCAAATAACGAACATCCAATTTAAACCGGCAGTTTTCATAAAACAGATTTTTTTAAATTGATATTTTTAAAAACTCTAACGCAAATTTATAATTTTACTCAGAATTATTAAAACATTATTTGTATTGGAAATAAGGATTAGTTTAAAAAAATAATTATAAATAAAATGAATTATTTATATCAATTGCCTATTGCTTTGGGGAGTACCCTGGGGTAGTGTGAATGAAGTCTAGTGTGTGACTGTAATTTATTAGCGTGAATGGAAGGGCATATCCCCAATTACCCCGAGGATTATCAAGTACTCTGGGGTAGTGTGAATGAAGTTTAGTGTGTGACTGTAATTTATTAGCGTGAATGGAAGGGCCTATCCCCAATTACCCCGAGGAATATGAAGTACTCTGGGGTAGTGTGAATGAAGTTTAGTGTGAGAATGTAATTTATTAGCGTGAATGGAAGGGCATATCCCCAATTACCCCGAGGAATATCAAGTACACTGGGGTAGTGTGAATATAATTGAATATACAATATAATTAATATTGGCGTGGTTGGAATAGCTTATTCCTAATTATAACCAAGGCATATGGAGAATTCTAGATTAGTGTGACTGTAGTATTGTGTGTGAATGTAATTTTTAGCATGACTGGACACTTTTGGGTAGTTTGATTGTAGTATTGTGTGTCTGAGTGTAATTTAACAGCGTGAACCTCATCTCTCAATTACCCCGAGGAATATCGAGTGTTTTGCGTATAAATTTAATTTATTAGCGAGAATCGGGGGGAGCTTAATACCAATAACTCGAGGACTAGCGAGTAGTCTAGGGTAATGACGAATGTACGAATGTAATTTATCAGCGTGAAAGAGAGAACTTATCCCTAATTATCACGGTGGGTAATCTGGGATAATGTGAATGTCATTTATTAGCGTGCGTGGAATAGATTATCTTTAATTACAACGAAGAATGTCGAATACTATTGAATAATGTGAATGTTAATCAAGCATCATTTTTATCTTGTTAATGTTTTTATGCGTCCTGATGGACAAAGAGATCATTAATAGGATTAAAGAAAGAGAGAGTTGGTTACCGTCATATCATATATTATGATATCTTGAAAAAGCAAAGGAAGATAGGTCTGGTGATTGAAAAATTCATTTGAAACTAGTGCATTTCACGAATCATAAATCTCTGATATATCAGATCGATACTTTTGCTTTGACATTTCTTTGCAAATATAAAACAGTACCCACTATATTAACTTAAAGCCGTGATTTATCATCCGTGACAACTGCTTAGTAAGCGACTACGGTATGTTTTTAAGCAAAGTGCTATAAATCTGTATTGGTTTGTCGCCAAGAGATGGCACCACCATTCTCACCTGGCTTAAAGCTCCTTGTTAATCGGCTTACCGAGAAGCAAATGAGCTTGCAAATTGTCTCCTGGTGGAGATGAAGACAGAACGCTGAGCAAACAGGTTGACCCGTCATTAGCTCCTCAAACCGCGTTTAATTCCAAAACGACATTGCCCTCTATGTAAATTATTGCAATCACGGCTAAATTCTTCTTTGTATGCAATTTGGATTATTTGTAGAACGGATAGATCGCGGTTTTAAAATGGAATAGATTGCACGTGGCCGATTTTTGAAAGAATGAAAAGTTTTTGTTTTTTTGTTATGTTCAACTCAATTTTTTATTAAGACATTTCGATCTGAAATACATTGATTGCTTAAATTTTTGAACAAAAGTTAAGTAAGTGTTACAACACTTGGTGGACTGTTTCGATAAATTAGTCGTTTTTCTCTTACTACTCTTACTACAAGTAAAAGTGAGTAATTTTTGTTTATACCAAATGTATCAAAGCGCAATGTATTTTATAAATTATTATTTTTGGCACTTTTGATCAATTTTTTATACTAAACTATTTTTCACAGTTTTTCACATTTTTTATCACAGTTATTCACAGCGTTTCGAGCCAGGCACTGGCTCTTCTTCAAGGTGAGACTCAACCATTACTATGAATAATCGTATGTACAAGTATATTCGACAACAAAAGAACAAAATTCTGAAAACTAGCTAGCAGGGTGCCTGAAACATAATTTCACACCCCATTTTCTGAAAATCAAGACATCAAAATTTAATGCCAACCACCTTAATTTTGGCGTAAAAATTGAATCCGTAATCAAAACTGTATGTTTTATACTAGGTATTACCAAAATCATATCCAACTCTTTACTGGAAATAAAATTTCGTATTATTCACCTTAGCTTTTAGAGATTTACTTCTACGAAAATTTTTAAAATATCAAAAAGATTGGGTGAAAATAAACTATGTGTTGCATGGAATATCACGATTTAATAATGGTAAAATTGATTTTTTTCCGATTTTATTCACTGCTGTTCATTACAAAAAAAAGGAAAACAGGGATTTAAATTTTCATCAAAGCACTCTCAGTTGCATAAAATTAATATAATTTACATGGCTAAAGTCTTGAAGTTTAAATATAAAAAAGCAAGTGTTAGGCTATGAGGTGAAATAATGAATTTCAATTAAAACACCGTGGCTTAGAAGTTAAATTTGAAGTTCTCATTACGTAATTCGGACATGTTTGCATGCTGTTTCCATTTTGTTTTTGTAAGGACAATTCTTAATGATTATACGTTAAGTTTAAAAAAAAAGTCCCATGCAGGAAGATAATTTTTTATTTAGTTAATAGAAATAATTTGGTTAATTTGGCCCTATTTTTATACTATTAATCATTGTCAATTAATTAAGATTTTTAGTTGAGATGAAAAAAGTTAATGGCACGAGAAGGATTCGAACCCACGACCTTCGGCTAGATACGCCGCTGCTCTACCACCTGAGCTATCGTGACCTCGATCCACTCGGACATCAACTCTCCATCTCAACCCCACCTTATGAGTTTCCCTCCTTTTTGCCATTTTTCAAATGTCGTGTAATCGGTTTGGATTCTCGACGACAACTGAAATGGCGACGGAGAGCTTTAGTGAAGTGTAAATCATTAATTCACTACTTTCGTGGTCCGCTTGACCAATTCGAAGTGGGGTCGAATCCCTCTCGTGCCATTAACTTTTTTTCATCTCAACTAAAAACCTTAATTAATTGTCATGTATTAATTGGTCAAGCGGACCACGAAAGTAGTGAATTAATCATTGTGTAAATATGTTCGTTAATTTATAATTATTTTAGTGTGATTTTTTCTTTGACTTTGTTGTGATATATGTGATTAATATTCTATGGCACTGCTCAATTTAATTGAAAGACTTTATGGCAAAAAAGTATTAAGCCGGAGCCAAGTCTGTATAATATAAAAACGTAAAATTATGTACTTAAAAAAAAAGTATTTGTGAATGTACTAAGTATTTACAGCATGCTAATTCGTTGTGTGTGTTTTTTTGTGTATTGGAAAGTCCATTAATCAGTAAGCAAGGCAATCTATGTTTCCTCCCATATTAAATGATACAACGATGATGTCGGGCTCATTGCTTTATTGCAATTGTTCAATGAAAAAGCCAACATCGGTTTATCCGATTTTCAATGCCGATTTTAGATGCGTCCGGTCAGATCTGGCTTTAAAGTGTACGAATGAATTCACCGCAGGAATTCCATTTACTTGAGCAAAACAAGGCGACTTTCGCTCCGACTGGCGGTATCACAAAAGTCGTTTTTAAAATTGGATGCCCACAACGAGAAAGATAATTGGGGCTAGTTTTTAACTTTGCTTCCAATCGGGAACGTTGGTTGTTATTTTCTCTTTTGTTGTAAAAGGAAAAAATAATGTAAAATTTAAACCAAAGAATTAAGAATTCCCACAATAAAGATGTAAACTTTTAAAAGATTTTGAACATTGGGAAATTTATTTATGTTCTGGATTCGAAAGTATAGTTTTATGTATTANATTATTTATTAAATTATTATTATTACTAAATTTAATTATTTTTATCAGCTTATGCTTAATTAATTGTGTAATTATTATTATTATTTAAATTCAAATTACGTCTTTTAGTTTACTTCCAGTTTAAAAGTCTTTAAAATAATCAATAAAAAGAGAATAAGAAAGAGGGACATTCATAAAATGAGAGATAAATAGAGAAATTTTTGGTGGAGAATAAAAATAAATAGGAAATAAGTACGCAATGGTTTTCCGACAAAAAGAGTAAATCAGCATCTCAAATATTTTAGATTAATAATATTATCCTTGGTCAAAGAGATTGTGTATGTGTGTATTAGGAAGAGAAAGACAGAGAAAGAGAGTAATAGTGAATTTAAAAGAACAACAATGAAGAAGAATGGTATAAGTCAAATATAGAAAGATTGAAAGGAAAAAGAGAGTGGGAGGGAGGAAGGAAAGAGTGGGATAAAATGAGAGAGGGAGAAAGAGAGAGGGTGCGATGAGGCGAGAAAGTAAGAGAGAGGGAGAAAAGAAACAGCAGAAGAACAAGAGACAGAGAAAAAAGTGAAAGGAAAGGGGGAGAGAGAGAAAATGAGAGGAATGAGAAAGAGACAGAGAGAGTGGGAGGAAATAGAGAGAGAAAATAAGAGGAATGAGAGAGGGAGAGAGAGAAAGAGTGACAGGAAAGAGACAGAGAGATTGAGAGGAAAGGAAGACC